GGTGTCACCGTAGTTTCGGCAGACCCCATCACACTTTTGGTGGCCCCAAAGGGGACTCCACCTAAGGTCCCAGTGGCGCAGCCCGCATGTGGGCGTCACCCCCGTTTCGGCACACCCCTGACACGTTTCGTGGCTCATATGGGGGCTCCACCGAAGGTCCCAGTGGCACAGTTCGCACGTGGGCGTCACCCCCGTTTCGGCACACCCCTCACACGTTTCGTGGTCCCAGAGGGAGCTCCACCTAAGGCCTGAGTTGCACAGTTGCGCAGTTCGCAGCCCCATGCTTTTCCCCTTTGGAGCTCGTCGCCGACATCGCCCAGCCCCCCATGCCCCCGCATTGAGCCTCCGAGCCGCGTCAGATCGTCATTCAAGCGCTTCTCGAGGCCACGCGCCAGTCTCATTCAATATTTTCTGCGTCTGCCGCTGGTTTTGGTTGGCTAACGTGCCAGATTTGTTAGGGCCACCAGAAAGCGTATGGTAGCTATTTGCCAACAACATTGCGTTGTGCAAAGCTGGCGATTTCGAGCTCGGAGCTCCCCAGATGCCCCTCGAGCATTCCAATGCCTAAGCCAGTTGGCACGGGTCAGTCCGCCCCAACCACCCCCAAGTACCCCTTGGCCGCCGCAGCCACCTTCTGAATACCTACCCTCCCTCAGTTTACAAAGTCATCCCCCAGGGCGGGGTGCTGGAGGCATGGAGTCCTCAGTAGCCACTACGAATCAGATGAGCGCACGATCTGGAGTTGGGCCACAGGGTTGTACATGACGCTCCGACACACTGGAAGTTCAGTCAACATTCGGTACATAGTCAGGGTTGATAATGATCATTTTGCATGCCTTCTGCCGATGACTTGCATGTGGACTGTATTTTGCGCGCGCAGTACCGTGCTATATAGTTCTTTGTCTAGAAGCGAGCGGTCCGCTCCTGCGCAGGCTGTGATAGAGGATGTGCCTCTTGGAGTGGATATGGCGACGTTCAATCTTGCGAGGCATCCGCTCCGACTTTCTGCAATACTTGTCAGGAATCAGCGAGATCGGTTCGGCCATGTTCAGCAGCACTGTGTATGTCCAAGCGCCCATCATCAGAGTGAGGGGGCCGACCTGTCTCACACTGTCTCTTGGTGCGTTGCATGAATTGGGGTGGGCCCTGGACTTTGGTTCTCCTCGTCCCCCAGCGACCCGCCCGCGAGCCGTCACCCGACCCGACTACGATCCGCCCCGCTACCCATCCGCAGCCCGCCCAGCGACCCACACAGCGACCCGCCCCGCGACCCGGCCCGCGACCCACCCTCGGCCCGCTTGGCGACACCCGCGCCCCGCCCCGCCACCCACCACCGACCCACCCCGCGGCCCGCCTGGGACTCGCCCACGGCCAACCCCTCTCTCCACCCGTGACCTGGCCAGCGACCCACCCACGATCGGCCCCGCCACCCACTCGTGTGCTGCCCCGCACCCGCTCGCGGTCCACCCCACCCGAGGCCCACCCTTCTACTCACCCGCGATAAGCCCGCGACCCATCTCCACCGTGACCCGCGACCCGTCCGTACGGCTTTGCTAGAGTTTGGCGCCCCTGCCAGGCCTTCCACGCTTGTCTTGGAGATCGCCATAAGTTGCACGTGCCCTCACGACCCGCCGATGACGCGCCTCGCGATCCACCCTCACAGGTTGCACTCTCTCTCACAGCTGCGGGGGGATCGGCAACTCGCTCTTTCTTGCCATCCCCTTCGTGGCTGCAAATCTCGCCGATGTGCTGTCGAAGCGGTGACTGCCAGCATATTTGCCACACGCAGCCGTCTTCCAATACGTGTGGGGGCTGCTGTTCGTGCAGCGTGATGCCATTCATCTCACCCTGCCACGAGATCCCCACCAATCTGGGGTATTGAGGGCCCCCGGGACGTATATTTCAACGACAAGGCATTGTGCTCTCAGCCCTGGTCCATGGCGACCTTTTGTGGAGTGCATCGGGGAAAGGCCCTGTGCAGTAAGTTCTGGGGGGAGTGGACGATGACTTCCTCTGGTTATTCAGAGGTATTTTGCCAACCATCCTGTGGTGTTGGGTCCTCGTTGTGAACAGGCAGCGCACTGCGTTCTCCTTCCTCCTCCTCCTCTTCCTCCTTCTCCTACTCGTCTCTGTTTCGGCACACCCCTCACACGTTTCGTGGCCCCATAGGGAGCTCTACCGAAGGGGCCTTTTGGTTCGTTTTGGAGCTTCGGCAAGCTGAAAAGGCGAGAACGCAAACCCTTCGGAAACCTCAGGAGCACAAGTGATTTTTGCCTCTTGGGGCACTTGGGGAGGCCTCTTGCGGGCCTCTTGTGGCGTCTTGGAGGCCTCTTTGGCCATCTTGAGGCCATCTTGGGCGTCTTGGAGCGATCTTCGGGCGACTTGGGGCTCTGTACGACAATTTTGGGGGCCTCTTGGAGCCATCAGGGCTCGTTTTGGGGCCCTCCTGTGCGGGGTAGGCCGACGCGAGCGGTTCTGGCAGACCCTGGGCTGGCTCAGCAGACCCGGGCCGGCCCGGGAAACGTTGAGTCTGGGCCCCTACAGACTTACACTAATGTCTGCAGCAGCAGCACGGCCCTCTCATTGCTGCATGAGGCTTGAAGCACTCCACTTCGTGACAGAGGCACGGTGGCGGATGTTTTGTTGGGTATCGCGACCACGCGCGTAGCGGCGCGGCGTGGTACAGGTCATTGATGTCTCGACGCGCACATACACAACCACTTTGAACTTCTTACCAGAGATTCTAGCACGCCTTGGGCCCGCTGGGCCAGGGAATCTTTGCTGTCGCTCATGCAGTTCAAGTCGACACATTCTTGAATGTTTGGCCGTGTGGATCTGTGGCTCCTGGTGGCCGTGGTCGGCGGCCGCGGCTGGCCGCGACGCAGGCTCCAAGATAAGCTGGCGGCCGGCTCGCCGGCTGGGCGCAGCCGCCTTTCTGGAAGCAGCCGTGAAAGCCATCAGGCGCTCTTTCTCTTCGCTTTTGCAGCTTGTTGACATGTGGTGGCACTCTTGCCGTTCGCCATCCTGGCGCATGTCTTGCGAGATAACCTCCACATGATACAAGCTCTGCGCATGGTGCAAGTGCAGTGCTGTGCATAGGGCCCTGCTACGCACTGTTGTTTTGTGCTGCCTTCGTGAGCTCGCGATCATGTGCACCTTGAACTATTGCGAGATGTCCACCTTCTCTCCTCCTTGCTCTTATTCGGTGAGCGAACCTTCGCTGCCGTCTCCCCCCTCCTCTCCATCCTACTCCTCTTCCTCCTCGTTATCCTCTCCCCTTTCCCATGGCATCTCGAATCCTTCGACTGTTCGACTAACTCATATCCATGCCATCTAGCCGTTTGTGGGTTGGCTCTCGCAAGCCTGCATCTTTGCCATGACTACCTGCAATCATATAGGGAACAACCCATGTCAACTTCCTGATTTCTGGTGGTCGGGGAGGGGAAGGGATTCATACCAGACATGTGCAAGAACGAAGCCGTTTCTCTGTTTTGAGTCGTATTTTGCATCCTTCTTTTTTCGACTGCGCTATTTGAGCGAATGTATATATGAATTGGCGAAGGGTCCGGACCTCGACGCGTTGCTGCGGCAGTGGGACACCGCTACTGGCGAGGTGAGTTCGCCGCATTGCAAGCTCGGTCTCGCAATGCGATGCCACCCATTGATGACCACTGCTTGCTAGTCTTGCTGCGGAGAAGAGGACCTCATCAGGGGAAGAGCCACGAGAAGCTTCTTTCTCCAACCACCCACAGCGTCGTGCTGGCTTTCACTGTAGCCCTTACTGCCTCCTCGCATGTCGCTAAGTGCACGGAGTCCTCATCTCCCCTCTTATTCCGATCGGAATTTGTCACCAGCCTGAACGTGAGTGAAACACATGCTGTGTCAGAGGGCAAGACGCGTCTGGCGGATATCACTGTCGTCATGCTGTCTGCATCATATGCTAAGTTGATGGTGTTATTACCTCAGTTCTTCGCTCCTCCCTGGGTAGCTCTCGCTGGGTGCAGCGATTGTGAAGGTGGGGTGGCAGCAAGCAGAGGCTGCATCTTTTCAAACAGATCGGCGAGACCAGACAAAGGTGGTGCTCCTTGCATTTGCCGCCGTGCGCTTGCGCCTGCCTTCTCTTCTTCTCTCCCTTACCTGTTGATTTACCTCCCCGAAGGTGTACGGTAGGTTCGCGCCGCGTTGACGCGGCGGCGGCGCCAGCGCGGGCGTTCCAGGTTGAAGGCCACCGGTGGCCTGAAAGCGGTTGGTTTCGAACTATTCTCGCTACTGGAAAGCCGCGAGCCTTCACAGTTGAACGATCCACGCGGTGCCGTAGACCAATGCCGACGTCGTCGCGACGTGACTTTGTCGTAGCTCTCCCTGGTGCCGCTGCGACCTTTCTGTTTGGCCTGCACGCTGGCGGCCTCTGCTGCTTCCCCGCTCGGCCGGCCGGTGCTCGCCCGTGCCTGTCTGCCACCATAGAGCGATCCTCGGGCCCTGGACGCCGGACACTGGACACGAGGCAGGCACCAGACACTGGGCGCCGGGTGTTGGGTGCTGAGGCACTCGACGCCAGACGTCGGTCACCAGACACAAGACACCGGACACCGATCGCTGGACGCTGGACACCGGGCGCCGGGTGCCCGATGCCATGGCCACGATGATTGAGGAGAGGTGGCGGAGGAGGTTGAAGATGGCGAGGGAGGAAGGGGGAGATGAAGACTTAGTTGGATGAGGGCGAGGAGGGGAATGAGGAGAGCGAGGCGGAGGCCGACGAGAAGGAGCCAGGAGGTGAATGAAAAACATGAACCTGGAGAAACGAAGGAGGAAAAGGAAGGGCAACGGCGACGAGGGGACGGATGAGGAGAGTGAGGAGAACGCAGAAAAGGAAGAGAAGAGGGTGGACGGGGAGTGTGATCACGATATCATACCATCATTGTACCAGGGCATGCGACAATGAACGTCGACCAGGGAACGAACGCAGGCCAATTTGGTTTTGCGAATCAACAACAGCTGCAGCACGGACCGACTTCGGCGACCCTCTCGGATGGAGGCCTCCTCCTCGTGCGATCCGAGCTAAATACTGGCGTCCTTTATTCGTGGGAGCTGTGCAGGTAGAGAGACATGGCGGGGGTCCACTGCGTCATTGCGACCACGCCTGCTACAAAGCATGAGCCTGTACTGACTCCAAGACTAAAAGTTCTGCGAATCGCTTGAAACCTTGCCCCCTGAAACTCTGCTGGCTTGGAGCGGCGCGATCCTGAGAGGGGGAGGAGCAAGAGCACTCACTGTCGGAGCAGCACGGAAAACCTTTCCTAACATGAACGGTAAAGGCGTGAAATCGAATAGTTTGGAATTTTTGTGTACAAACATAGGGATCAGCTGTAGCATAGGTGCTCCTTCCCAACGTCCACAAGGGGTATCAGGTGGAGTTCATTACCCGCGCAAATTGAGACGCGGTGCTGAACTGGCGCAGATAACAACGTGCTCCTGATTTTGGTCCTGACCTCCTGAGGCAACTTGTCCTCATCCTGGTATGAGTCCTTGAAATTTGCGTGACTACAGAACATGTTGAAGTCACGCAAAGTTCTCGCCATCGTCCTGATCGACATCGGCATCATTGTCAGCACCGTCATCACCAGCACTATCATAACTATCATAATCACTGCCACGGCCATGATCATCATCATCACCACCATCATCATCGGCATCATCATCAGCATCATCATCGTCGTCATCATCATGATCATCATGATCATCATGATCATCATCATGATGATGATGATCATCATCATCGTCGTCGTCATCTTCGTCATTATTATCATCATCGCCATCACCACCACCATCACCATCACCATCATCACCATCACCAACACCATCACCATCACCATCACCATCACCATCACCATCACCATCACCATCACCATCACCATCACCATCACCATCACCATCATCATCACCATCATCACCATCACCATCACCATCACCATCACCATCACCATCACCATCACCATCACCATCACCATCACCATCACCATCACCATCACCATCACCATCACCATCACCATCACCATCACCATCACCATCACCATCACCATCACCATCACCATCACCATCACCATCACCATCACCATCACCATCACCATCACCATCAGTCATCATCATCATAATCATATCATCGTCGTCGTCATTATCGTCATCATCATCATCGCCATCACCGTCACCATCACCATCACCATTCACCATCACCATCACCATCACCATCACCATCACCATCACCATCACCATCACCATCACCATCACCATCACCATCACCATCACCATCAACCATCACCATCACCATCACCATCACCATCACCATCACCATCACCATCACCATCACCATCACCATCACATCACCAGCACCAGCACCAGCACCAGCACCACACCAGCACCCAGCACCATCATCACCATCACCATCACCATCACAATCACCATCACCATCACCATCACCATCACCATCACCATCACCATCACCATCACCATCCATTACCATACCACCACCATCACCATCACCATCATCACCATCACCATCACCATCACCATCACCATCACCATCATCATCATCATCATCGTCATCATCATCATCATCCTCATCATCACCGTCACCATCACCATTACCATCACCATCACCGCTATCACCATCACCACCTTTATCACCATTACCATCATCGCTCGATATTTGTTCGAACCTGTTCGTCGGCATATTGATGATGCGTCGGGCGAAATGCTTGCTGCTGAGCAAGGTGCTTGAAACACAGTTCATTGTTTAGACCTCGCTGAGCAGTCTTCGGGGCGCCACCCCTCTGCAGAGCAGACAGCAGGTGCAGTTCACTACCCGCGCAAGTTCAGGAAACAACAGTATTCTGGACACTTTGCGTAATCCCACCAGTCCATCCAGAAACGATGCCCAGGCGACTTGCCCTAAGTAGTCATGTGGGGGAGTACGCAGTGGAATAAATGCTGGGACGCCGTCGGACCCCAAGATGGAGAGGATGGAGGAGGAACCAAAGGAGGAGGAGGAGGAGGAGGAGGAAGAGGAAAAGGTGGAAGAGGAGGAACAGGTGGAGGAGGAGGAGGCTGAGGAGGAGGAGGAGGAAGAAAAGGTGGAGGAGGAGGAGGCTGAGGAGGAGGAGGAGGAAATGGTGAAGGATGAGGAGGGGAGGGGGAGCAGGGAGCAGGGAGAAGGGAGGAGGGAGAAGGGAGGAGGATTAGGCGGATGAGGAAGAGGAAGTGGAGGAGTGCGAACGGAAAGGCCAAAGGCCTCTTTGGTGTTTCTCGGTATCCATTCGGATGTTTCTTGAGAGCTTCTTGAAGCTCTGTTGGGGCGTCTTGGGGGGCTCTTTGCGGTCCAAGGGGCCTCTTGAAGAGTCTTGGGTGCTTCCGGGGAGCTTCTTGGGGCCTCTTGGGGGCCTCTTGGGAACCTCTTGGGTGCATCTTGGGCGCATCTTGGGGACCTACTGGGCGCCTCTTGGGGCCCTCTCGGGGCACTATTTGGAGCCTCAGGGGTCATCTTGGGGCCATCTTGGAGGTGATCGATCAAATATGGGGGGGCACTCAAGTAGGCCCCACCCTAGGAGGTCAATATTGGGCTAAAAGCTTAGTGAATGTTAGCCAGCGTGGACCCCACGCAGTAGGTTCTTGCGATGTATGCGGTGCAATCTATGTGGTACAATGTATGCAAGTTGTCCACTCCACTGCTCGCGCAAACATCGCAACCACCCACCCCCGCAACTTGGTTTGCAAACCCCATGCGGCGGCGATTGCGATGAGTGCTTGGCGCTGGCTGGTGCATCTCTGCGGCCGCGACAGCCCGCGCATGCTCTCGCGCGCAGCGGCCAGCTACTTTGGCGCGACCAGCGCAGCCGCGGCGGCGCTGACCGCTGGGCACATCCCAACGGGCACTTCAGTGCGAGTCGGCGACTTGGGCGGGCGCGGTATCATGGCAACGTCGACACCGGTCCCACCACCATCCTTATCGAAAACCAATGCTCGTCATTGTGTTTGGTGGGCTTGCGCACAGGAGGCCGTACGCCACCACCCCCGCCGTCCCTGTCAAAACCATTTTGTGGTGATCGCGGGGTGGCCGCGAGGTGCATTTTGTATTGTTCTCTGTTAGGGGTGGTAGCCCTGCGCGCAGCAGGCAATATGCTGACACCCCGCCGTCCCTGTCAAAAATGATACAAAGTGCTCGCGGGCCTCAAGAACATGACTCAAGACTTTTGCCCCAATATGTATTTTGTATGTTTTTTCGACAGGGATGGTGGGGGGGGGCCGCGTCGGGTTGGCCGCGCATGCTCCAAATTTTGAGGCAGGGTGCGCTTGTATTGTTGTTTGCCATGGACGGTGTGGGGGGTCCTCCTGGTTCCTGGTTGGCCGCCAGTCGCCAGGGGGAGGGGTGTGTATTAATAGGGAACAGTGATCAAGCTATCTTCCTAGAGAGCAGGCCGTCTAGCTCATTCCCACCCGCACCCCCAACACATACGTAACATCCGGGTGTCTGCAGATCGCTTAGGAACGCCATACATGACGTGCGCGCCACGGGTTCTAGGTGCACCAGGCACTCTGGAGGCCCAAGCGTGCCAGGCTCGGCACATGCTCCTCGTGCGCCAACTGTGCCACGTGCTCCAGCCGCGCCAGGTGCGCCAGCAACGGGGAACCAATAGGGACCCCAGGTGCCTTGGGTCCTGGCCCTGAGGAGATCAGGATCTTGAGTCCCCTTGAAGCGAAAAGCCGAGCATTCTGTGAGAAGTGCGGCCCCTCCAGGGAGCGCAGGGCACCGGCACCATTGGACAAACTATGACATCTCGACGAGTCGCGAAACAGATGAGAGCTCAGTGAAAAGAGGGCCCTGCGCATGATCCAGATGGGGAGCCAAAGTGTATTTTTGTATTGCTTTTGACAGGGAGGGTTGTCTCGCGCGCAGCTATCAATATGCCGGCACCCCCGCCGTGTCTGTCACCATTGCAAAGTGGTCGCGGGGCTCCCGGGCATGCTCCAGATTTGCAGGCAAAGTGAAATTTGTATGGTTCTTTACAAGAGATGGTGGGAGGTGGGCTCATTGGGCCGAGTTGGCTGCCGGTCGCCTGGGGAGGGGGTGTTTTTTTAATGGGGAATAGTGGTACACCCCTCCAAGAACGGAAGAAGGGGATTGAAAGAAGAAACGTCCTAAACCACTCACGTCCTAAAGGGCTTGTGGGATTGAAGGGAGCCCGCGACCTCCTCGGACGAACCCCAATCGTCTACTTCACGTAAAGCCCAGTACATCGAATGATGTCGCACAGTAGATGGCCTGCTACTGTTCGTCCTCCCCGTCATCATCGTCATCATCATCACCACTGTGATCGCCAACGTCACCATTGCCACCGTTATCATCATCTTACTCATCACCATCATCATCTCGAACATCATTGTCAGCAACAGCATCAGCATTCGCATCAACGTCCGCATCTCCATCATGATATGATGTTTTGTTTTCGAAGGCCCCAAATGCTCAACTTTTGTGATCATGTAGCAAGTCAAACGCGTATCTTCAAGGACAAGTTTGTAAAATCGTTGCTGCTTTTTTTCCATCGTTTCGCCTGTCCAGCAGCCACTTGTTGTGAGGATGTCTCAAGCGAAACGATTACTTTTGAACCAACGAATTTGAACACCAACGGTTTTTCAAGGAACTCGTTTTTTGGTTCATCTTGGGTGTCCCCCAACAGAGTGCTCAAAAGATGTTATACACCTGACTGGACAAGAACCGCAAGCGTCGCTTTTGTCTACGAAGCCTGTCAGACGTCCTGTTGAGAACGCCGAAGAAATCGGAGACGAAACACAAACTATCAATATTACTGCTGGTGGTTCATGGTGTTGGTCTGCCGTGCTCCTGTGGTCTGCCGTGCTCCTGTGGTCTGCCGCGCTCCTGTTGTCTGCCATGCTCTTAGGTCCTGCCGTGCTGATGTGGTCTGCCGTGCTGGTCTGGCGTGCTGCTGTG